ACAGCGCCAACGAGCGACCCCGGCCAGAAAACTTCTCTGGCTGCTGCAGGAGAACCCTCGAGTGAGCAGCAGATAAAACTCCCCAGCATCAAACCAATGCCGGCCAGCACACAGAAAACCAAAATGCCAGAAGCCCCAAACCAGACCAGGTCCCCAAAGCTGTTCCCAGCTCCGTGAGGGAAAGCAAGACCGCCGCTGCATTGTACTGCGGTTTAAATGTCGCTTCCAGGGTCCCTGACCCTCTGCTTCTTACTTTTAAACTGATACCGAGGTTTTGCTTTTCCCAGAAAAGGCGGAGACGGGGCTTCTGCACTCTCCTCTGAAGAGCCCTGAAGCCGGCGGCTCTGAGGTCCCTTTAGGTACTTACACATGGACAGGCTGCTTTCACGGTTCTGTGTTTTATTTGTTCAAGTCACTACCTTATAATTCATAAATATCTGAACCAAAAAAACCAGCAGTGACCGAGGTCATGCAAGTCGGCTGACCAAGAATTCCTTCCCAGCCCTGACAGACTGGGACAAACCTTTCAAGACATTAACGCGTTTATTTCACGCAGGCATAGCCCCTTCCTAAATGGAAGGGGATTAAATTCAACCGTGAAACCTGTTTTGTCGAAGCAACCCCTAAACGCGGATTATTTATTGCCCAAAGTTAGCACATTTTCAACATGCTATAAGCTATCTTGAAAATCAGTGATTTTCTCCAGCGAATTGAACAAGGCGCCTAATTTCTCCTCAAAAGCCACCCGCACAGGCACAGGCACACGCGTGTCTGTGCCTGCGGGGTTGTAACATGAACACAGCACATTTTACTACAGCAGTCTGAGCTTAATATTTTGGTACGATGGAAATCCTTTCAGATTTTTTTTCTGCTCCTGCTGATCACACGGCGAATGCCACTACTTCACACAAATACAATCAGCCTTTTACCCAGGACAATATATATTTACACACTGACACACGGAACAACTAAACGTAAAATATACCTAGATAATACTCGCTAGAAGTAAACACTGCCAGCCAACCGATTATTTAGAGGCCTTAAACATGTTATGTCAAAATGAAGAAAAACAGAAGTGCATTCTCCTGCTAAGAATCAGCTACATTATTAAAAATCTATAAAGGCAATAAGCTATCAAACCTTGCTCGACAGGTCTCTAACAGAAAATACATACATAAAAAATAGAAGCATGGCTCGCATAGGTTTGTGTACTTTGCACCCATCTCCTCTCGGAAAACTCTCTCATCAGGAATAAAGCAGCCGTCATTCTAGATCTTCACTCATTATCAGCCAGAGCCACTTGTACTATCGAGCCTGTTATTACTCTTTCACTTAAGAATGGACGCAAACGTTTTAAAGGAGAGGACAGTGCTCCTTTCAGAGAAGGCACATGAAGCTCAAATATCTCTGCCCAACTTGCTGCACCGAGGAAAGACCTGAATATTGGCAACAGAGTGCAAAAGGACCCCAGCCTTCAAAATCAGCTCCCTGTGACTAGGCGTAAGACATAATAGGTCTACTTAAAAAAATACATTAAAATGCTAATTTTGTACTATCTAAGAGACCAGGTAGGTCAAGACTTCGTGTCTCTGGCAAACTGCAACACAAGTCTGTCTCAGTTTCCAGGACGGGCTGCTCAGAGTCACTCAAAGTAGTTTTACTGGACTGTATTTCCAGAATGTCCCTGGTGTTAGGGACAGTCCCATAAAAGAAGCTACTCCGACCACTACAGACTACGCAAAAAAAATCCTTCTAGCGCCAAGCTTCCAAACGGGCACACACGCCCAGGTTTTCTTCGACTTCTCTGGAGAATGGAGGAGTGAATCAAACTTTCTAGAGGCTGAAAAGTTACTATCTCACTTGTATAGAAATGCGATTTTTTTTCTGCTTATTTTTACCTCATTATTTGCAAATGTTTACAGCAAACACAGAGAAACATCCCGCGTTATATATTGCCAAGGCCATTCAATTATAAAAACAGAACACTAGCAACTTTCAGGGGCTGCCCATAAGCAGTACGAGGAGCCCACTCGCGACACCTCTAAGATCTGACAAAGGATTTCATGTAAATTTACCCTTCCCGGGCTCAGGAGAAAAAAAATACCAACCAGAGAAAAGAAATTCACACACACCACCCCCCCCTCCGCGTCCCGCAGACACATCACCTTTGCTCCAAAGGCTCCAGCAAACCGCACGCCCCAGCTCCCCAAGATCGCAGCCAAACTGCTATCCTCACCCCCCAAAAAAGTTATTTCTCGGCGTTGGCCATCCCTTGCCTCTCCCAGTAGGCACAAACCCCTAAAGTTTAGCATTTAGAGCAGAAATGTAAGAGGAGACATTGGAAACAACTGGGAACCGCCATCTTACAACCCATCCAATTTCACACAAGTACTTGTCCAACTTAAGTTAATAACATTTTCTGCTGGGTGTCCCGGCTCCTAACAACCCCCCCAGGAGGATCGCTACCCCCCGCTGGCTCCGTCTCTATAAAATGGGTGCGTTATCTGACATTTTAACCTCCCCCAGACACATTTCTTTCGGGGAGGACTGAAATCACTTGACCCAGGCAGCTCCAGATTTCACGAACGTCCCTGTTTAATCAAAATCTGCCTTTAAACAAAGGGCGCTCGGGCCGGGCTGGCAGCAGGGTCGGAAAATATAAATATTCTCCTCGGGGGCCATGTGCACAGAAAGGTTTTAGGGGGCGTCTGGAGAAAGAAAGGAACTAAAATTTGCAAATGTGGGTGCGTAACGCGAGCGAGTGCACAGGCTGCTGCTGCTGCTGCTGCGTGTCTGTATGTGTGTGTGTGGCTGGAGCAGCCTGTCAGCGCTTTTCCCATACGGAGAGCTCGGGGGACACCTAGGCGCCCCTTTGCAGCCCCCAAACCGGCCGAAAACCGCCGCCGAGCCCCCTTCGCCCCCCGCCCTTGCTAAGGCGACACCTCGCTTCATACGTACCCGGAAAACGGAGCCGGTGGGTGATGATCGGAGCGGCCAAAAAAGACAATGAAAGTTAAAAGTCGTTCAGCAGAAAATGAATGTGAGCCAAGCGGCCATCTTGAAATGAACTGCAGACGCTGTCAATTGCAATAAGCTTATTGCCGCCGCCGCCGCTGCGCTCCGCTCATTTTAGTTACAGAACGCCCGGGTCTCCGCCGCTCCTCGCGGGCCCTTCTCGCTCGCTCCCTCGCTCTCTCGCTCCCTCCGAGTTGGCCGCCCGGGCGGCTCAGGCGCTGGGAGCGCACAGTCTCCCCGGTCCGGATGGGTCCTCTCTCCACCAGCCCATTGTCTCTCCCTCTGCCCCCCGCTCCGCCTCGCGGCCTCGCTCGCGTTCCTTCTTTTATTATTATTGTTATTATTACGAGTATTATTGTTGTTGTTATTTCATAGTTGGTGGCGGGGACCCGGGGAGGGAAGGAGGGCGGGCGGGCGGGCGGGCGGGAGGAGGGCGGAGGAGGGAAGAATGCAACGCTGAAGGCACACAGTGGAAACTGACACCGTCCCCAAAATGGCTCGGAGTTCGCCCGCCCCGCCAGCGTCACGTGGGGCGCCTCATTCCTTAAGGGCGGCCTGGGAATTAGCGGCGCTGCCGCCGGGGCCCGGCAGCCTCCCCGTGACCCAATCCCGCAACCCGGCCGCCTCCTCCCCCTCCGCCTCCCCCCTCCCTCGCTCCCTCCCTCCCCTCCCCCGCCCGCCACCCCCTCCCCTCCCTCTCTCCCTCCTCCCTTTCTCCTTCCCTCCCTCCCTCCCCTCCCCCCGGCCCTGCACGCGCTCGCCCGCGCGCCGCCGATGCCTCCTTTTCCTCCTTTTCCTCCTTTTCCTCACCGCCCGCCCCGACCCCCGGCCCCGCTCCGCGGCTCTCGCCCGCCTCCCCCCGCCCGCCGCAGCCCCGATGCCTCCCGCCCTCCTTCCCCGCGCTCCCTCCGCCCGCGCCGCGGCTCCCCTTCACCCCCTCCGCCCCCCACTCCCTCCCCGCGCCCTCGTCGCCCCCGCGCCCCCTGATCCGATCCCCGCCCGTCCCCCAGGACCCCGCCCGGCGTTGCCCTCTCCATCCTGCCCGCGCCGCTGCCCCCCTCCCCGCACACCCACCGGCCCCATACGCCTCCCGTCGGCTGCCCCCGCAGCCCCCGCCTCCCTCCGCGCACTTGTTGCGCGCTCCCACCCGCGGCCGCCCCGCACGCCCCGTCCCGCCGCGGAGCGACCCCCGGGGGGACCCGCACGGCGGCCTCGCGCCCCCGCCACCGCGTGGGCGCTGCCGAGCGCCCCTCGGCCGCTCTCGGCCGCACGGAGCCGCCGCCGTCGAGGAGGCGCGTCCCCTCGGGGGCCGCGCGGCCGCTTTTCCGCCCCGAGCGGCGGCGGGAGCGGGTGTCGCGGGGACCCGCGGTGTCCCCGCACCCCGCGGGGGGGAAGACGGGCCAACTGGGAGGGAGGGAAGCGGGGAAACCCTCGCGGTCGCTCGCCGCCGGCGACGACAAGACGCCTCCCGCAGCTCGGGCGCGGAGGAACGGAGAGGAAAAATCGTGGCTCCGCAGTAAAGGACCGGCGGCCGCCTCGCATCCTCTGCGGGGCCGCTCTTCCTCGCCGGCAGGTGCGGACGGGCCGCGCTGGGGAGCCCGACCGCACCTGCCGGCGAGAGCGAGTGGCCCCGCGGAGACCACCGGTGCCGGGAGCGGCCCAAGGCGGCCGGGAGAGCCGCGGAGCAGCCCTGCCGTCGAGCCGGAGCCGCCACCCGGCTCCGCTCCATCCCGCGGACCCTCGGCTTTCCTCGAGGCACCCTGAGCCCATAGGATTAAACTGAATCCTTTCTTGCCACCCGCGCCGGGGTCCAACCTTTACTCGTAGGGGAGATGTAAGATCGGCTGGAGTGAAATGACAAAGCGCGGCGGGCAATTTAGCAAACGCGCCGCAGCCGCGGCACTGGAGGAAGGGACTTTCGCCTCACTGAGCTGATCTAACGTTTAGCATCTTACTTTTAGGTACAGCTAATTCACCCATAGAAGTTGCAGAACAGGCGCGAATAAACTTTTATTAGATAACAGAGAAAAATAAGCAGCGACAAATGTAAAAATATACAAAATAAGACAGAAGGAATGCTTTGATGACGTGACAGTTAAGCAAATACTTAACAAGAATTAATAAAAAAAAAATTACATGAGCAAGGAATACCAAATGCGGACGTAAAAAAGTTGTTTCATTTAATTCACATCCAAGGACTTAAAAAAAAAAGGACAGTTTGCATCAAGAGATGAAAGACATTTGTCATTTAGGAGACACTCTTAGGAATGAGAGTACTTCAGCTCAGCAGGCTGACACCTTCCTTCAATCACATCTGAGTCGCTCTTTCTAGACTTTTTGCAGCATCTTTTAGTTTTCCAACTAAATCCTAAGAGATGAAATATTGTCTTAGAATAAACATATTTTTTAGAAGGTCAGCTAGAAGAACAGAGTATCTTTTTTATACAGAGAGGCAAGGGAAACCAGCACCTTGTAGCACAAAGAAATGTTACAACTGACGAACAATGCCAGCAAGTAATTAAACAGCTCCACATTTTACAGTGTAGTCAGAAAAGTGGAAACTGAAGGAAAACACTTTTAAAAATGTATTTGCTCCTAAACCAGATCGCTACTATTAACACGTAGATTTTATCAGTATTGCCACAATGGCTAACACTAACATCCGCTCCAGGCTTTGAAGTACTACATGCATTTCTAAAACACTGAAAATATTTTGAGTGCAATTTTGTACCAGGATCATTCTCTAGCCAAAGTATGTCAGATTTTGCTATGTCAGCAAACTGACTAGAAACACTCATTAGTGAGAAAAGGACAACTTTTAAGACAAACATTTAAAACCTAAAGTTTTAATATCTTGCTTTTCCTCTCTCCACAACCCCTCTTCCCGATCCTCCAGAGTTTGGCCACTTCCAAGCATTACAATACCTCTATTGTTCAGTTACACATTTAAATCGCTAAACAAAGATCAACGTTTGTTTCAGTACATTTCTTACATGTCATTAACACCACTGAAGAGCCTTCAGTTTGCTCTCTATTTTTAATCATGACACATTCAAATCATTGAACCAGCTTCTTTAATCATTTCTCTAAAGCACGGGAAATCAGAGTTTCAGAAAACGACGAATTTTCTCCCAAATACACATATAGATTACAGTTATGAAAACAGACAAAATATTTATGCAGTATGTAAAACACTCTTCACACAACTAAAATCAGTTACTTTGCAACTTTATTTGAAAAGACAGTAAAATATACTCAGATAATTTTTATGGAAGATTCTCTAGTATCCTCCCAGTAGAGATTTTTATTTTCAAATAATAGTACATATGATTGAATTTTGATTGGCAAGTTGCTAAAACCACCTACATCCACAACTGGAGCTAAGCACAGAATGATGAAGGAAACAAGTACCTGTAATTGCTCCATCGTACAACTAAAACTAACATCTGGGTGTGATCCTGAATCACTGTTCTGAAGGAAAAATCAAACAAACAACAACATCTATTTTATTTAAAAGAATCATGAAATTGCATTTTTTTCCTTTCAGGGGACTGGGAGTACAGTACCTCTACATTTAAGGTCACCAAGTAGGAAGGCTGATAAGTTTTATGAAGTTGATTGTTCTAAATTAAAAACAAAGAACACATAAAATGGTCATTTTTTAGCACTAAGACAGACTAAAGAAACACCTTAGTGTATTAAAATTACCTTGATCTGATATTCCAAGCGCCAAGACACATCAGTTATATGGAGAGGAGATCTGCCTATGCTGAAAGACAAAACAGTTACAAGTTTCCTACACTAAAAGAAAAGGTCATTTTCTAAAGCCGTCCATCAATAAAGAACTTTTTCATGATCCTTGTAATGCTTCTTGAAAAGCTCAAAAAGATTTTTTTATAGTAGAATTCCAAATGAAGAAAAGTTTCAACAGCTGTTTTCTAGAGTTTGTTAAAAATGTACTTTTTAAATGGAACAATATTTCTTACTTAAATTACCTAAACTATGCAAAAGTGTTTTCCAGAACAATTTCAAACTAACTGTAATTGAAACTATGCCTCTGTGCTGACTGATTGACCTACCTTCCCAACAGGATTTCCAATGCATCCTTGTTTTTCTGGAGGGGGGGGAGAAGAAAAAAAATATTTACTAGGTTCAATAAATTACTATGAGAGGAAAAAAAATTAATATGTTAAAGTTGTTTTTAAAACCTGATATTCGGTGCAAAATTGTTCTATTCTCTCTTTATCCAGTTTACAGTCTTCTAGACATGTGCTACAGGGAAAAAAGAATTTATTAGTTTTCTGTTACCATTAACTCAGCAGTACACTTTTAAGTAACAACCGCTAGAAAACTGGTGAAGCTTCCAACTATGAGTACCTTATAGCAGATATGTCAGCTTTCTGCTTCCCTGCCTCCAGAATACATGTTGCAGCCGCAGCATGGCAATGTTTTAATACTGTAGGGTCAATATCTTTCAGGTCTGGATCGTCTAAAATAAATTAATTACTGATGACACATTTACTTGCCAAACCCGAGCACACGGTACCGAGGGCTGCTGCTCGCCCTTTGAACGCTATCTTTCCCACAAAAACTTCAAAATGAAACACATTTAGTGTTTCAGAGCGAAAGGACGGAGCAAGTAGGCAAGGTGTGAGGAGGTGGAGGAGGAGGTGAGGGGCTGAAGCATTGGCTGGGGCGAGCCGTACCAGGCGGGGCTGTGCGGCGCTGCGCGCCCCGCCGCCTCTGCATCTCCTTCCCAATAAAAAAAAAAAAAAAAAAGGGGGGGAAAAAAAAAAAAAAAAAAAAGAAGGAAAACCTCAATTTCCTCTCCAAGCCCCGTCCCAGCAGCCTGTTAAAGGCGAGGAGCGGAGCTGGAGCCCCCGGCCGGGCCGGACACCGGGGCCGCCTGCCGCCCAGCCCAGCACCGGCGGCTCCCTCCGTCCGTCATTAACACTGCAAAATTAATTGTACGGCCGTGCACCCTCACGACAGGGTTGCCGTAGGACGTGTCCACACGCGAAAAAACCCCCACACGGTGGCAGCGGGGGAACACCGCCGCTCTGCCCCACTCCCGCGGACACGAACGCGAGGGGCGGCCCGGCCCGGCCCCCCCTCTGCTTTTGACGGGTCGGAGCTTTGATGAAGCAGTCGCGCGTTAGCGGTGACACCCCGCGCAGCGGCACCCTGGAGCCGTCCGCGGGCGGGGACACGCGGGGACAGCCGCCCGGCCCCGCGGGGACACGCGCGTCCATCCGCGGGGGCGGGCGGGGCGCGGCGCCCCCTCTGCGCGCCCCGCGGAGCGGCGCGGCCCGCG